ACTCTGTGTTTTTAAAGCTGATCAGGCTGCCAGAATGGGGGCAGAGGCGCTCGGAGCGTGCCCTTGCGGGAGGGAGCCAGCACGCGCAGGGACCCGCAGAGCACCCATGCGCAGGGTCCCGGGGGAGCAGCCAGTCCCCCCCAACCCCTGTCACCTCTGTTCTGCCACCCCATCGTCCCACCCGGAGCGGGAGGAGCCCCACTGCCGTGTTGGCTCAGCACCGATGGCTCTTTGGCCCCCAGTAAATCCAGCCAGCAGCCCAAGAGATGGAGCGGGCACCCTCGCGCACCCCCAGCCCCTGCTGTGCTCCCGTGTGGGGCAGCCGGTGGTCCCGGGGAAGGCTCTGCCTCTGCCCCCCGAGGCTCACAGCCCCCTTCGGCCACCCCCCACAGGCTGCTGGCCCCAGGGGCCCAGAAGGGCAAGTGCCGCGAAGGAATGGGATCTTGGCTCTTATCTGCCAAAGGCTCGTGCATCCCCTGCCTCCCACTCCCACCCTCCTGGGCCCCCCCTCCCCGGTCACATCTCGGGGGGGGGGTGGGGGGCACAGCCACGGCCACGGCCCTGCTCAGACACAGCCCCCGCCTCCAGAAAGGCGAGATCCACGTGTGCGCTGCAGATCCGCCGCCTTTTTTGGGGCCGAGCCCTGTACAAGCTGCTCCATCACCCTAATGACACAGCTCATAATTATCTCATTTGCTATTAATTTGGATGTCAAGAGAAATTCCACTCATTTGCTTTTAATTAATATGGCCTTAAAATAAAGCCAGGGGGCTGGCAGGGCTCTGGCAAGAGGTGTCTGTGCCAGTATTAGAGAGGATCAACCACGACCAACGAAGGGAAGAGCGGTTGGGGTGGAAAACTATTTATAGGACCAAAGGAGACAACTGCAAGGGAACAGCGATGCTTCCCAGCCTCACCAGTGCCCTCCGCACGCACAGCCACCGTCTGCCAGCACCCACCACTGCATTCAAGGCACAAGAGGCTTTGGGACGCCCCGGTGAGGCTCAGCTGTCCCAGAGAGGACCAACACTAAAAATGCCTCTTTGCAGCCAGAGCTTGGGGCTCAAAGGTGGGGAATGGGCTCCCTGCTCCGAGCAGAGCAGAAGGGATGGAGCCAACGGCACACAGTTGCCCCAACCAGCTCTACTCAAGCCAAATGCACTGGAAACACGGGAGGGGAAGCTCAGCTGCTTGTGGCAGGAGCTCTGCAGCCTGGGGGTGCGCGCTGCACCCCGGTGATGGCTCCATGTTACCAATATAGATGGACCTGGTTTTGGGGAAGCATGAGGGAAATAGCCCCCCGCTAAATCTACCTGACCAGCACAAGTCAAAAGGGAAGAGGAATGAGACTTGAGGGGTGGGGAGGGGGGAAATCCCAGCAAAACTACTGTCCCTGTCCTCAACATGAGTGTCCCAAAATACAAACCTTGAGTCACCAGAGCTCAATCCTTGCAATACAAACTGCACAGGCAGCATCTAGCCTGCCACAAGCTCCAGACATGGAGGTGGGAATTCATCTCACCCAGCTTTAGACATCTGTGACTGAGTTACTCATCTAGACTCCCTCAATAATCAGAGAAGAAACAGGCTGCCATCCTGAAGCATCTTTCTCCCTAATCAAGGGACCCCAGGTGAGCAGCGCACGTGCGGAGATCTTCCTTTCTGAGCTCTAGGTGTCCACAAAAAACATAGAGGATCCAGAGAATCTGTAGCTGAACAGATCATTTGTCACTTGACTGGCACAAATCTTCCATCAACCTTCACATCCTCAGAGGGCAAACAGAGCTGGAAAGTAAGAGGCCGTAGGAGCTCTCAGGAGGCAGGGGAGAAGCTCCTGTCTGGAAGGGTGGCACCAATGCCAGGTTCAGAAGGGGAAATGGATTTGTTTCTTTTCACCAGCTCAGGTTTGCACTGAGAAGGTTTTAAGCAGCCTTTGATCTGCCTCCAACTGCGCTCAGGGCTGAGCCTGACCTGCAGAAGCCAAGCTTGCAGTGAGGAGGCTCTGCGAGGAGCTGCTCGGGTTTAATTAAGCCAGCACAGGCTGTGTCTGTTGACGAGCCCAAGGCCCGAGAGCCAGAACGGGCTCTCCAACACGTGCATCCCAGCAGGGCCAGCGATTCCCTCCAGCCTCCCCAGCAGCGACGCCAAGAAACGGTTCCTGCTTTAATTATCGCCTTCCTGGAGCAAGGGGCTGGCTGCGGGGAGCCCCGGGGGGACACAGAGCCCTCTCCTCGCTGTCCTGGCTCGGAAAGTCACCCGGGCACCTGCCCTGCAGATGGGTGCTGTGCAGGGGGGGCTGCGCAGGCCGGGCAGACCCAAGCATTCCCGGGAACCGGCGGTGATTTAAATCTTTCCTGCTCCCACATCCCCTCCCAGCAGCGTGTTCGCACACAGGGGAGGGATTAGGCACGTTCCACACCCCCAGCGCGGCTCCAGCGGGAATCGTGTTGCGGAGCTGTCCCGGTGCCCCATCTCCTCCAGAGACCACAGCAGGGAACTGGGAAATCCGAGCCCACCCAGCAGCTCCCAACAGCCCGGCCACCAGCGCTCCAGCCCGGCCCCAGGTGAGCGAGAAGGCAGCAGAGGTGGCAGATTAGTTTAATCAAAGGCAGCCAGCCTTAATCCATCCTCCAGGCACACAGCAGAGGGGCAGGGATGGTGTACGGGACACTATTTCGCTGCAGTGAGGAGCTGAAGAACTATCCCAACAACCTCCAGCTTTTTACAGAGCCCCCCCCACTGTAGCCACAAGAGAGGATCCAATCCCCTTCCTTCATCTATCTTCTTCCCCTTTGGTCTCACCCCATTCTACTCCTCCTTCCCATCCGTGTCCCAGCTTTTTTGCCAGCTCTTAAGTTATTTACATTTAGCGATTAGTGCCAGGGAACAATTCTGCCCCAGCTTGCAGCCCCTGTTTGCCACCCGGGAGGCATGGCCTCATAACAAGTCAGCAGTAAGTTGCTGGGAACCAGAGGACAAATAACACCCAGAAAAGCTAATTTCCAGGAAATGGAGAGTTACAAAGGAGGAGGTGTGTATGAGTTTACTTAGGAAGGCCACTCAGCTCTAGTCTCCGAGTTTCTATTAAGAGGAGGTTTCGTGCATTACAAAGAGATTTTCCCTTCCCTAGTTCATAAGCCCGTTAGATAAAGAGCAAGTTAATCCCTTACTGTGTTCAGAGAGCCACAAGTAGACACCAAACAGAGAGATTAGTCCGTTTGTCTAACTGCCTCCCCGGGTTCTGGCAGCTGAGAGAGCATCACACAGTGCAGGTAAATACTAAACCCGAGCAGAACAGAGCCCTGGGCCCCAGCAGCCCTGCAGAGGTAGCTGCAAGGTCTCACCGCCGAGGCAGCACCCATCCTCCATCTACACCCGAAAAAGGTGACTTTAATCCAAAGTCATCTGATCTCAGGAGTTTACCTGCGCTCAGAACAAGAGGAGCGCAGAGACACGTCAGCACACGCAGAGGGAAGCGGCAGCAGCAGTGCCTGGGGGAAGCACTGCATGGAGATGCTTTTTGTCTCTTTTTTTTTTACGTTAGCTTTTTTTTTTTCCCCCCATTTCACCCCTCCGGGCAGAGGCATCTCCCCTGCAGCGAGGCAGGCTGCAGTGCACGGCTCAAGCCAGCAGCGTTACCCGTGCTGGAGAGCCCGGGGCCCAACAGAAGAGGCAGCTCCAGGACAGCAAGAACCTCACGGTCCTGCTGAGAAACAGGGCTCAGCGTAGCCCAGCTCACGTCTTTCACTGCAGAACCTCTACTGACCAGCACCCCCGCCCATGGTCAAACACCGACCAGCACCACACAAAGCCACCGATACATGAAAAGAGCTTAAAACTGCAGACACTCACCCACTTCAGCTGCACGACCCGGCCAGGAGGAGCTGCAGTCCCATCTGCTGAGGAAACCCCTTCCCTAACAGGACAATCCCCAGAGCAGGAGCTGCTCCGCTCCCCGACAGACCCCCCCCAGGCACAGCTGAGCTGAATGAGGTGCTTTAGCACTGCCCAGATAAATTGGCAGCAGGTGTGGTGTGACCTAGAATTGGGGGTGAGCCTGGGCTGGTCCAGTACAGGCTGGCTGCTCCCTGGGCCAAGGTAGCCAGGAAAAAAAAAAAAAAAAAGATGGATTTCTCTGGTGTTCTGCCCATGAGATCTAAGAAACAGCTGGCCCCTGCCCACAGCCTGTCATTTGTGTCTAAATCTGCGACAGGCTTGACAAGACCCTGTCCCTGTGGTTTAGTGAAGTTGCTGCTTCACAGGTGGTTGGAATGAGAAATGGATGAACTGGTCGGTGCCGGCAGTGGGCCCGTGGCTCTGGGAAAGGTCCCAGACCAGTTAATACCGCTGTCCCCACCAGTTAGGGGGGTCCTGCAGGGCTCGCCCCGAGCCCAGCAGCGGGGCAGGAAGGAGCAGAGGGTGTTTGTGCTCAGAGGCGAAGGCACACAGCCGTGTGCCAGGCGGGGAGCGCAGGACGGGGCTGGGGGGGTCCCGGCCCCAGCAGACCCCGGTGGGCAGCCAGCCAGCCCTGCGTCGTTAAACCAGATGGAGTCCCTGCTGCAGGGAGAGAGCTGCTAATTACCCGACTGATACTGCTGAGGGGGGGGAGGCGGCTGCCAGGATCCCGGCCCCAGCCCCCCGGGGAGCGGGGCTCCCGTGGCCCCGGCTGCTGTCCCAGGGGGTGAGGGCGGTGGCAGCTCTGGGGGGGGGGAGGCTGTCCCCAGGGTGCTCCCTCCTGCCACTGGTACCTCGGGCTGGCAGCGCACGGTGGCTTTTCCGGAGGCTCCGTGCCCACCTTGTTCCCTCGAGACGGGGGGACGCGGCAGTCTCAGATGTGACGCGTCCATGGCGCTGGGAGCGAGCTGCCCCCGTGCCCCCTCGGCCGGGGAGGGCTGCCCCCCAGCCCCCCCAAAGCCACCGGCGGAGGAAACCCCAATGCTTCCCCGCTGCCAGGAGGCCCCTCTGAGCCCGCGCACATCACCGGGATCAAAGGAGCGTGCTTTCACTGCCACGTTTTTTATTTCCCGGTCTCAGTCCACCCACGTAACAAACTCCCGTGTGAAAACGCCTTTGAGGCTTCCCGGGACACAGCAAGCTCCTTCTCGAGGCTGGAAAACTGCAGCTGCTTCTGGCTTTGTCTTTTATCACAGATCAAGGGTTTTTGGGGAAGCACCAAGACCCCCACACACTCCACCGCCCCCGAGGACCAGCCCCACAAAGGTCCCAAATGGGCCCTGGGGGAGCCAAATTTGTGGCTTCCTCCCTTTTCCCCCCCCACCCCCCCCGGGGTTCAGGGTTTAGCGCTGAAGGAGGAACCAGCCCAGATTGCCATCCAGCAGATGCTGCACAGACACGTGAGGGGGACTGAATGTCCTCTACGCAGCACCGAGACCGAGGCGGTGGCAAGAAAGGAGCAACAAAACCTGTAAGGCAAAATTTATGTGAAAGTGAAACGCTTGGCAGCATTTAAAACAGACCACAGGAGTCCCAACCCCGAGCACCCCTCTCCAATCCCACGGAAACAGCCTTTTTGCTCTTCAGGCTGGAATCTTACACAGCCATGTTTTTTTAAAATCAACATGGCAGAGTTTTGGCTGTGTTCAAGAACTCGTGTATCTGCTCCAAATTTATTTGGGAATGGTCAGGAATAGCCTGCTGAACAGAGCCAGGATGGCTCCACACCTTTGGATGAAAAGCTTTAGCCCTGCAAATTGGACGAGACTCGCTGCATTGATTCGGGGATAAAACTGTTTGTTCTGTGCTCTGCTGCTGAAGCGAAGCCTCGCACGTGGCTTAACTGATGGGTGTTGGTCCAAGCGTGCTGGGCACGGGGAGCTCCCTCCTGACCCGGCACCAGTGCTCCCAGTCCACTCCGTGAAAACTCAGGCCTGGGATCCGGCCACCCTGACTGATTTATGGATTAGGAAGAACCTCCTTCCCCCTCCTCCCCGATGGGAAATTCTCCTTTCTCCCGGGATGATCTGCCCGTCAGGCAGAGCGGGTCTGTACCGCGAGCCCCCTGCCTCAGCCACCGCGCCGAGGGTGACAGGAACACCCAGCCAGCCCGGGGACCCCAACCCCCTTCCACCCGGATGGTGCTGCCGCAGCACCGCAGAGCGAGTTCAGCAGCCACCGGCACCCCACGGGCAAAAACCCTCCCAGGTAGCCGAGCTCAGACCTCGGAGCCTCCTCCCAAACCCGCAGCAGGCTGTTGGCTCCGTCCCCTCCCTCGTGAGTCAGACGCCCACCTGAAACACAGCGTCCCCGGCCCGTCTGGCAGGACCAGCCGGAGCTGCGCTCTGGGCTTCTGCTCCCCGGCGATGTACGAAGTGGATGTGCGAGCACAGGCTGCAGGGACGGGGCGGAGGCTGTTCCAAAACCGCCCCGAAGGGAAGTCTCCGTGCCAGAGGGGTGTAGCGGGAGCCAGAGGCCAGCTCTGGGGTTTGTCTGGAACTAAGTCAAGTACCTCAGCATCTCTTTGAAAATCACCTCCTGCAACTGCCCAAGCACCCTACGGAGCTGTTGCAAGCTTACAAGCGTACGTTTGCTTACACAAATATTTTTACAAAGCTTAAAAATCACCCCTGAGAAATAGACTCTAAACGTTATCCGTGAAGAGCAGCGGCTCTGCCCACCAGAACCGCGCAGAGTGCCCGGCCTCGTCCTGGCTGACACGGCCTTGCGCTGCGCGCCCCGGGGTGGCACTCGGCTCTTGCACTCAACAGAACCACGGGCTCGCAAGAGGACAGGATCCAGCGAAGGGGGGAGCCCTACAGTTTCTGCTGGCATCAGACTAATCCTCCAGTTCAGCCTCCTTTTTTCTGCAAGGAACAAAACCAAGGAAGAGTCACAGGCTTAAAAAGTAGAAACCAAGACGACTAAATAACTCTGTCCCGTGGTGAATAAGGGGCTCAGATACACAGGTTTTGAGATATATGGTCATAAATGGAATGAGCTTGGTTTTTCCGTTGCACAGACCTCCAAGCTGGCTGGCCTTTGTGTGAGCTTTGGCATCTGCCATGGCAGGAAGGTGTTAAGAGACGAGGCTCCAGCACAAAGGGGGGACACCCAGCCTGGCCCTGCACTGGGCTCCCCCCCCACCCCGGCCTGGCCACGCTGCGCAACCGCCACCGCCCGAGCAGAGGCAGCCCCTGCTTTTGCTTCTGGCTGCATGACTCAAAGAACAGAGGAGCTGAGCAGAGCGCGAGGAGTTGTGCCACCCAGGTGTCCTAAGGGATCCCAAAGAGCTGCCTCAGTCGGCGAAAGCAATCCCTCACCCCCACCCCTGCCCACCAGGACCCCCGAGCAGAGTGGCCTTTGGGTCCCGACACCCTTCCCTCGTCCCCGAGCCGCTCCCCGGCAGCACCACCTGGCACCTGCCCGGCCCCGGGGGAACCCAACAACAGACTCTTGTGAACGACGCTGGAGAGGCAGCGAAGCCACGACACAAGGAACTTCCACACTCAGTGGGCTTGCTGTGGATTTACACCGACGAACGAGCAGGCGCTGGCCTACATTATGAAAGAGTAGGGGGGGTCTGACCCTCCCCTTGCTTTCTGGGGGCAGAAACCAGCTCACTGCAGGGTATTTCTGTTCTCCCTCGTGTCACACCTGTGGGTGTTGGTGCTTTGCTTATCACAGGTGCCACAAACCAAACAAATCCCCAACGACCTTCCTCGGCCCAGGGCACAGCATTCTGTAGAAGAAAGGTGGGGAGTAGCATGGCCACAATCACCAGAAATCACCCTTTATGGAGGCAGCGTATGTCCTGATGTCACCTGAGCTACCCCATCTGTCCCTTTAATGCCATTACTGAAGATCATTACATGAGCAGATCCCCTTTGGAGAGGCAGCTGCTTGGGCTGCCCACACACCTACCTCTGTGGCCCAGAAGAGATGACCTCCAGTGGTGAACACAGCTGCTTCCGAATATACTCCCTTGATCTAATATCAGCCTGGAATTAAGGAGGAAAATGAGTGAAAATGGATTGATCAGCTGGCTTGGTGCCTCCCCTTTGTCATCTCAGTAGTTCCCTCCACACCCCGATGTCAGTACAGCACAAATAGCTCTTGTACGACCGTGTTGCAAAGAGGAACCTGCATGTTTCTTTCCTTGTTTGGTTTCTGTGCCTCACTGCAAGCTGCTTGGGAGAATGAAGACTTAAAAGGAAGAAATAGAGGGTCCGGGACCAAACAGCCTTACTGCAGTACAGCCCATTTTAGCACCAGAAATTACATTTGCTGAACCCTTGCTCTCTTCCCCTTCACTTCTCATAGGAGCAAGGAAGTGAGACACTGGGCACAGGCAGTTCCTGCCAGCCGGTGCCCAAGGTCTGCTCAGCCCTGACCCTCCCCAAGCACGGCAGGATGAACAGCCAGAGGAGGACCCAGACTGGGCTTCCTCAGCAAATCCCAGCTCACCTGAGTGCGATCAGCCTTCACCAAGGGTCCCTGCGGGACCCAGAGGATGAACAGCACAGGCTTCCAGCACACAGTGCGGCGCAGCGAGTCTTCCTGCAGCAAGCACTGACCCAGCTGGAATCCCTCCCCTTACACCTACACCGAACGGCGGCCACTCATCGTCCAGCGATGTGACAGGCCAGCAAGGATTTCCGGGGCTCAGTAAGAAGAGCTGTTTGCTGACAAAGGGAGAGCTGCTGAGCTGCTGGGCTGCTCCTCCGCCGTGCCTTATCTCTGCGGCAGAACTGCAACCTCTCTTTGATGAACCCTGACAGCAGAGCCAGACTGGAGGAGACCTGCGAGTCTGAGAGTGGTCTAGTGCTTTCATCCTTTGAGCCAACCCAAATGACTTCTTCCACATGTAGGCACCTCCAAATGTAATGCAGGAAGATGTAATGGGCAGCTAAGCTCCTCCACAGGCCCACCCCAGCAACAGCTCATCACTATCTGATGAAAGACAGAATAGACTTGTTAGAAACTTGAGGACAGGGTCAGTCTTCCTCCCCTCGAGAGGAGATATTCCAAGAAGTAAACCAGCTCTCCCACTGAACCACCAGAAGCTGCTCTGCCACCCTCATTCCATAAAGGGATCCCTGCCATGATCACATGCAGGTCTCCGTAGTGCTGAGTTTCCTGTGCATCAGCAAAAGGCTTGCAGATAAAGGTGCCCAAAACAAATGACTCCCCTTCAGCCCAGGACTCAGTCCACTCTTCTGTTTCTTGGGATCTTACTCATTGCTCTTGCTCAAAGCTATCAAAATCCTTCAGCCTACACTGATGCACAAAAGCAGTATGTCCCCTGGCCGCCAGAAAGTTGCTGGGAGTGCCAAACCCATATGGATGTGAAGGCAGATCTCTGCAGCACTGCAAGGCAATTCAGTGTGAGAGTGGCTCGTAGATCCCTCCTCAAAAGGTGGAGAACTACTGGGACATTTTATTGACTTGTCCCAGAGCAGCAGAATGCCCCCTGGACTCTGCTGCGAGACCCTTCGCTGTATACTCAGTGAAGCAGAAGCTGTGTCCCAGGACTGTGCTAACTGGGACTCCCACGGGCACTGCAAGCAGGTTGAGGCTGCAGCCTCCAGGCTCACAGCACTCCGAGATCATCCATGGTCTTCATAGCTGCGACACTGGGATGTTCCTGAAGGATTAGCTTTTGCAGGAAATGGGACTCTGCCCTCCACAGGGAACTGTAAATTGAGAAGGGGGAACAAGGCTATGGAGGGGGCTGGGAAGAGTTTGGGAATATGGCAATCCAGCAGGCAAGTTCTCAGCAGGACACAGGATGAAGAGAGAGAAGCTGGCATTGCCCGTTCTTGTACCCACCCCTCTCCTTCCTCTGTTCCAGCAGTTGTAGGACGCAGCAACAGATGGAGCAGCACACCACTCGTCTGCTGCATATCCTTTTCCCTACGCAAGAGCTTGGCTCATCCTGCCTATGCGCCTGGTGGGCTGGCTGGGCGGTGGTAATTATGCAGCTAAAGCAGGTAAAAACAGCCACTAAAAGCAAACAGAGACAAGACACAAGCACATCCTTGGCTCTATCGCTTCCTGGCAGCAGTTACAAGGAAGTGACTGACACACCTTTCACACTGTCCTACCTCGGGAGTCCAGAGGCAAAGCTGCCAAGGAACACAACGGGAGCAGGTTACACACCAGCCTGTATCCGTGCTCTGGGCTCTGCTTTCCAGTGCCAACACCAAAAGGAGTAATGTTGAGACTCTACCAAATCCAAGGTTTACTGCCCTCCCTGTTTGAAATTGAGCTTGGGGCCATCATCAAACCCGTCCTCATGCAAGGGTCCAGTTCCCCCCTTCCTCTTCTGATACACCCTCCCGTGATGTGAGCCCGCCTGAGCTCACCAGGAAAACTAGACTGCTGTGTCTTATCAGCAATGCAGGATAGCGTGTGGTCAGACTGGGGCAAGAGCACCAATGGAAATCCTGAGAGCTGTAAGAAAATGTTGCTGCCATTTACCAGATGTTCTTGTCCCCCAGAAGTGTTGTCCAGCTTTCCGGTGCCGCACCGTATTAGCAGGAGACTCACAGATGCTATCACGACCATGCAGATCCTGGGCTCTTGGACAGCTTGGAGAATTGGCAGTTGATCTTTACATTCCCTCAAAGTTTTCTTTTTTAGAAACTTCCTTTCTCAAAAACACCGCTATGCCATGGCATTTTAGAACAGCTGCTGTGCCCCACCTCAAAGGCAGAGTGTCTCTCTCCACTTAAAGAGCAGTATGTGACCTTCCCAGCTGGAAAAGCTTCACAGCATATGATGATCATGCTAATAAAGTGGGTTAACGCATCCCCAGTGGCTGTCCTTGAAGCATTTGCCACTTTCATCGCTGTTCTACTTCTGGAGAGTCTTCTCCCGCCCCTCGAGAAGCTCCCCACCACTCCTCCGTCCCTGCCGCTCCCAGCCAGACCTCTCGGGTGGAGGCTCTGCCTGCTTACTGCTGGAAAATGCAGCTCCACAACTGCTTAACAATTCTGCAAGCTTGAGAATGAAAAATAGTTACATAAAGGGTGGTTTGTTTGGGAGATTTTTTCCCCTTCTCTCTATAATTGGACAGTTTCATAACTGAACTGACAAATAACTTTGATCACTCTTCAGGATAAGAGACTATGTGATGTATTTTATAACAAGGGAAGGAGGTTGTTCAATAGAGTCCCTACTGGGAGACCAAGGTAGCAAGAGTCACATCTACAAACTATTTTTCTAGGGTAGAAAAACCCCAACCACGTTCTGCTGATAGCAGAAGATAATGCTTGATTAGGTGGCAAGTTACTGGCCAGTCCTCGCTCACTCCTAACGCAGTGTTGAGAGACGGCTTACCCCAGCGCATTAACCAAGAGGCTAACCAGTAAGATGGATAACTGTCCCGTAATAATCCTCAGAGCTTGTTTCTATTTTCAGAGGGGACTAGTGCTGGCGTTAGGGTATGGAATGGTTGCTTTGCCTGTTTTATGAGGGGCAGTGGTGATCCCTGTGTACCCAGCAAGCTTGCAGCAGGGGGTACACCTAAGGGAGTTAAGAGTTTCAGGATATCAGCCACTGCTTTCCCTGCTGGGCAGCAGGAGCTGTTCACACAGAGGAGAGGCATGATGGCTTATTTCTCAGTTCTCCTAAGGGCAGGTGTTTAATATTTCACATGAAGTGACCTGCAGAAATTCACAGCCCTGGGCAGGCCTCCTCCTTCTGTCCTTCTAGGTGGGCTGGAGCAACACCAGGCTGTCCCATCCACAACCTGAGCAGCGGGAACCAGCTGGGCAAGGTGCCAGCTGGAGCTAAAAGGATCAAGTGAGCTGGAGGCTGGTGAGCAGCCAGCCAGGAGCCTGAAACGGCCAGAGCAGAACAATCAGTCCCAGCGCAATCTTTGTCAGCTGAAGAGTGTTAAAAGCTTCTGTTTCCCTGCTGTGCATGGGGATCCTGGGCCTGGGCAGGCTTGGAGCGTGGGCAAACACCGGAGAGAGGTCCTGACCTCTGCCAGAAGTGGGCAAGGGCACTTCTCAGGAGGGCTTGGTATTGTTCCAGAGCCACTCAGTCCAAATGCTACGCTTGTTATTCTGGGACGACAGCTCCTGCCTACCTCAGTCCCTGTCTGGGAAGCTCCAGATGACCAACTCTCTGCAGAAGAACCTCCAAATCTCACAAGTTGGCTGGGCAGAGAGATCACCCCCATGCAAGCAAAATTTTCCCCGACTGGCCTTGCACATACACGTGGAATAAGGACTAAATGGGATGCAAATACTGAGTGTAGGTGATAATGAACTTCCCTCTGCTTTCTCTGAAAGATCACTTCTCTCACCTGCATCACAGCCACAGTTCCTTTGGCAGCATGACCACATTGTGGGCTGAATGCAAATCAAACTGTTTCTGATCACTGCCGAGGGAGTGTTGCATGCTCAAGAAGCACAACACACCCTACACAGACTGGCCAGCCATACCTCTAGGAAAGCAGAAGGTGTAAGTTCCCTCAGCACTACACATGCTGCAGCACAGTACTGCCTGCACACAAGCCATAAACACAGCCTCAGGAAGGTATGAGCAGCTGAGCTCTCCTAAGAGCATTATACTTCTAGGGCTACCAGAACTTACAAACTAAGAGCTAACGATCCAGAAGTCTTTCACAACACTGGGAAAGCCATAACCATGTCACCCCTCAGGTCTGCAAGCTTATCCTGGGGACATACCATAGCAAAAAGGCCAAGGAAGTGATCCAAAGCAGGACTCCCACAGCCTTCTACCTCCTAACTCCAGCATTAGGTGCTCAAGAGCTGAGGCTTCCAGCACTGTCCTGGGCAAAGATCTGTGACAGTTATCACACAGAGGAATTATGACAGGGAGAGATCCCAAGGCAAGGTTTAAGTGTCCTTATCTCCTGCCATTCCTTTACCTCTGCAGTAAACACAACCCCTTTTGGATTTTCAATCTCTCTGTAAGGAAAGTGACAATTCATTCCATCACTTTAAATAAAGGTCGTAGTTAGAGAACTGGAAGCATCTCAGAACACAGACAAATACTGGAGATAGTCAGAAATGAAATGAGGGTGATGAAAATCTCCAAGACACCTTTTTGTTTCCAAAGGGAATGCTCTTCCCCTTTCCTCTGAACATGCCGAACTGCAGAGCTAGCTCAGAGCTCTGCAGAGGCATCTGTCCCTTGCTGGAAGAGATTACATAAAAAGATCTCTCAGCCTACTCCCGTCTGGCAGGTAGTGGTTTATGAGATCAGAAACTCCAGTTCTGGTACGGACACTTCAAGGTTTGTTTTGCTCTAAGGTGTTAGATTTTGTCTGGTTTATAACTATAGACTCAAGACTGTTTTCAGAAAACACTGCAGTACCAACGAGAAGCTCCTGTGTGCAGAGACTGCGTAACAGCCCTCAGCAGGATCACCTCAGTGCTGCTCCGGGGAGCTGCAGAGCAAAGGTGGCCAGGCACCTGACAAGCACGGCGGTGTAGCAAGGCGAACAGCGTGTTCCAGGGCAGCGCTACCAGCACAGACACCTGAACCGGCCCCGCTCCCCGGGCAGCCGCGGGGTCTGGCCTGCCCGAGCCACTCACAGCGGGGTCACCCTGACAGGAGGGAAGCACTTGTCAGGCTAGAAGTCCCAGAGGTTTTATGCTTCTCCAATCCTTCCCTCAAGCCCTGCTGCGATGTAATTAGTCTGAAGCTGAGCCTTGGTGGCAGCTGCGGCTCAGCGACAGCGATCCAGTGCTGTCATCTACTGGCTGGCGGCCGCCCCGGAGCCTGCAGCTCCTTGCGGAGTGCAGCAGCAGGGAAAAGCCCAGAGGAGCAGCACTGCAGTCTGTGCCAGGCTCAAAGCGCCCAGGAAAACTGCATTTCCAGCTCCTCTGTATTAACATCGGCATCGCAGAAGTTGCCTGCAGAGGGGAACCAAGAAATCAGTCAGGCTGGAGCTGCAGTAAGGGCTGCGTGTGCTCCCGAGCACTGCGTCAGAACAAGCAAGGAAGAAGGAAGGCTCGGTTAGCTACCAGGTAAACACCACCACGCCAGGCCAGGGAGGACAGGCCAGCGAGAGCGGTGTCAGCTGCGCAACTGTTCGCTGCAGAAGGGTGGCAAACTGAGGCTCTGCAACTTCGCCACAGGCTTGGCAGCCACAGCCCCCTCCACTGCCCGCTTCCCCACTCCAGGCCTGCCTGCCCCCTCCTCAGCTCCCCTGCTCTGTACCTGACGGATGGGCTCCGGGATCCGGTACCTGCAGCAGGACTTGACTAGGCGCACGGCTGTCTGCAGGCACACCCTGTGACCCACGGAGATATAGAGCGGCCTAGAGCTGTTGTAGCTACGCAGGACCTGTGCATTCAGAAACAAGAAAGATCAAATACTTAAGAGGCTTATTTTAACAAATACAGACTGGCAGGTGAATTATAAGCGAGCCAGTTGCCTTCAGAAGGTGGGACGGTGGCTCTGTATTTGGCAACGCCCAGCCTTCTTGAACCTACTTCCCAGTATCTCCTGATAGGGACTGTTTGCCCTTTTGGAGCCCCGTGGCCCTTCCCCAAGTGCCTCACACTGCTCTGGGAAGCAGAGACACTTGCTAATGGAGACTATGTTGAAATAACACCAGACGCAGGAAGCTTCTTACATCTGCGAGTTTCCTGTGCAGCGCTCTTCGGCGTCAGATGCTCCCATATTGCACCCTGGTCACCTGCGACAGAACTGGCACCTCTCAGTGATTGTGGTGCACGAACTGGGGTGCTGGAGCATGGCACCTCAGATGCCATAGCCTTGGATGTAAATATATCCAACACCTGAACTGTCAACTCTGCAAATGTCTGAGCTCCCAGAAAGGGCAAAGCGGTGTTACTGGTCACCTGTTCACACTGTGTCCTGAACTAGCACCACGGAGACAGTCCCACTACAGACATCGTCCTCCAGCGCTCCCAGCTACAGGAAGACTCGATGGCCAAGTGAATAGGAAACTCCCTGGAGCTTACCATGCCCAGGACTCTCCCCGAGGTGCCTGTCAGTGGGAACGTATCTCCTGCCCTCTGCAAGGAACGAATCTAGGGATAAATACACACAAGGTCAGTTGGTTAGGAAGTACTTGTATGCAGCTGTCCCAACTTGAGATCTTTGGTTATCAAGAGTGGAAATAAATTCCAAGGCCGGCCTAACCTGCTCTCTGTGCCCCTCATCCCTGACCAAGCCATCCACATGCAGGAGGTTCTTGGCCACTCCAACGCACGGGAGATCCGTCAGGACTCCGAGGTGACAGGCCACACCAAATCCTGCCAACAAGAAGTCACTGTAACTGCAGGACACCAGAGAACAGAAATCTCAGGTGGCAGCACGGGGTAAAGTCTTACCTCTGGGATGAAGCAGGCCATTCCCATCTACAAGAAGTACCTGTAAAAGCAAAAAAATAAATGTTGTTTCCTGTGCACCGAGAGCCACTTCAATAAACAGTGATGCTGGCCCTGTGAGGAAGGAGAAGCCTCTCTCTATCCTTTTACTTCTCTCCATAAGGGTCCTCCTGCGGTGCTGTCTACACCCGATTCTAAATGATGAGTAGCATGAGCTCTTAGCAGCTGGCAGTGCTTTTCTCTCATGCTGCACACAAAATGGGATTCTCGTTGCCAAGAGAAGCCTGGCTATTCCTGCCTTAGCACGCCTGGGCCCTAAGGAAAGGGCAATAGATGCTTCAATACAACTCAGCCACCGCACATTCTGCCCTGCCAGCAGAAAACAGCCAGACAGTGCAGTCTCAGGAGAGGGAAGAACACTCCCTTTCTCTGCGCCCTCGTGACATCTCAGCTGGGGAAAAAGAAATATGCCACACCTGAGGTTTGAGGTTGGGCTTCTCCTGCTGAAGTCTCTGAACAGCTTCCACCAGGACAGGGACCTCTCGGAAGGCCAAGAATCCTGCCACGTACGGGGCGCTCACAGCCACCATCCGGCAATCCTCGTACAGCACCTGGGAGCAGTGGGACAGTGCAGACAGTGACCTCCAGGACGTTGCTGGGTGGCTCCTGACTGTTTCAGAGGCACCTCCTCCGGTTTGTGTCCCTCACTCTCATCTTTTGTTTTAAATACTCTGCTTCTGGATCTCTCCCACAAAGCTAAGGCCTTTGGGTTGTGTCAGTCCATCAGTCAGAAAAGGGGGTGGATAATGGACTGCTGGGAGAAGAGGGCTGGACATCACCTGCCATACCCTGCTTGATAGTCCTTGAAACAAAATTAGGGCAGTTATTCAAACAGGCAGTGCGGGACCTCAAAGTTCACCGAGTCAGAGCATTATCAAATGTCCCCTACACGGGGACAGGCCAAAAGAAACCCTGTAGGACAGGCCAAAAAAACGTTCATGCAGAGCAAGTCAAGAATCAAGGCAGGGTTTGAAATTCAGTTCATAAAATCCCAGTGGCTACTATCAAACTTTATTTATCTGCTTGTTGTAAGTTTTATAGTTAAAGATAATTTTTATATCATTTTGAAAGCTGGGAAAGAGACCAAAAATCTTTATTAATTCAAGTAAAATGACGGTAGGATGTGGGATTCATGGCAGTTCTGAAAAGGATTTTGTCTGTTATAACCCATAGTATTAGCTGAATATCAGCAGGAACTCACAAAGGAAACAGCTGCTGCTTGAGCGCTACAAATGCTTTAATTTTTCTCTCTTGATCGGCACTGAGTAGCGGTCCTTTTTGTCTCCTTCTGGGTAGTGGCCCAGACTTATTATTTTCAATATACAGCTAAACCAGTTAAAGACCTCTGTGCTTGACCATGGACCGCATCTCATCATGGTATTTTTTGATTTACCAACTAACTTGAATGTATACTGAAACTATCTCTCCACGCCTTGGAAGCTGCCAGTAATCCTACGAACCTCTTGTAATTACAAGTGATTTGCATCCCATCTTCCAAAAAAAATGTCTAAATCCTTACATCTGTTTTTTCCTCCGTCTATCTTTTCTTGCAGAACGTATGCCTGGAGGCTTTGTTGAACATACACGACAACTCACTGATGTCCTGGCAGGCAGAGGCATGGTAGATAACGGCCTTTATGGAAGTTTTCCATAAAACCCCTCATGTTATGGCACACCTGGACACGACCCCAAGGCGTGAAGTTGTTCACTTGCCGTTACCTCGAGAGCCGGGTAGCTGAGAACAACGAGGGAAGCGCAGGCTCTGGTGTCGTCCCCTTTGATGTAAGATAGGTCCACACCTCCCACTCGCTCCAGTCCTGTAAAACTCGAATCTTTCTGCCACTCCTCCGTGTCCTCCTCAACCACGCTGGCTTTTCGCTGGGCCTGCTCGCTAGCGAAAAACCCCAGGCCCGCGGTGAGCCGGGCGCCCCTCCTCCTCGGCTCCCGGCCCCGCTCTATCCCGGGGTCCCCGCGGCACCGGAGGAGCCCACGGACCCCACCACGGCAGGGGCTGAGCACCGTGGGGGGGGTGTGTGTGCGCGTGGGGGCTCCTCTTGAAGGGCCCCACAGCTTGTGGGGACACGGACACCCCTCCGCTTTCTCCGAAAACGGGAGGCGGGGGGGGGGAGATGCAACTCCCCTCACGGAGCGCTTGCCCTCAGGCGGGCCGGGGCTCCGAGGGAACGGCCGGGGACCCCGCCGCGGCCCACCCGGTACCGAGGGGGCGAAGCGGGGAGCCCGGGCCCCCCCAGCCGCGCGCGGTTGCCATGGCCACCCCCACCCCCCCACACACACACACACTCACACCCCCCCGCGCATGCGCAGGCCGCGCCGTTACCGTTCCCAGCGGCGCAGGGTGGCGGCCGGCGGCCCCGACATGGCGCCGCGCTGAGTCCCGCGTTCACCCCCGTCACCACCCCCCGGGAACGCGGGCCGAGAGCGGCCGTTCCGGGCAGCCGGGAGGAACTTTATTGAGAAACAGCCCCGGGGCGGGCGGGGAGGGGAAGGGGAGGGGGGTGTTAAGGCAGGGAAGGAGCACGTTCCTTCCGTGATTTTGTTTTTTTCCAGCTTGGTCCCAGTTCTGCTGTGGGAGGCTCCGCCCGGGGAAGGGCCGAGGAGGAGCCTCGGCTGCATCCTGGTGCCAGTTAAGTGTCAAGAGAAAGGCAGAGGGCACGAAACGCCTTCCCCGGCAGTGATGCTTTGTAAAAAAATCCTCCCGCTTCAGCAGGTGCCTTTGGGGTTTTGGGTTTTCTTTTTTCATGATGCCTTCAAGAGTCTCTGGTTGTACAGGCAGCCTTCAATTTCTCCGCCTGAAAGCATCTCATCTTTGCATCACACTTCTGGTACTGAAGTTAGTGAAAAAAAGAAAAAAAAAAACCAACCAAGACAAACCCCAACCCCCCCAAAAAAACAAACAAAAACCCAAGCCCCAGAGGTTCCCGATGCTCACTGACACCGTGTCTGCGGCACTAAAACTCCCTATAGATGAGGAAGGTAGTGGTCCTAGCTCTCCCTACGCTCTCTTTTGAAGAATGCGGCTGCTTTCCATGTGGCGGTAGCGTGAGAGAGAAGAATCTCATCTGGGAACATTTCTTGCAGCTCTGTAGCAAACTCGGAGTCTTTTGCATCAAGGTAAGGAATGAGCGATTCCTTCAGGCTGGAAAACAGAGCAGAAGTAGTATTAATAGATGGTGCACAGCAAATGGCACATAGTATTCTGTGTGGTAGGAAGGCACCGATATTAAGTATGCAGAGTTCTAATATGTGTATTTTGTAGTGAGAAGGATTGCGCAGCCGGTCAGATTTATAGAGGCTGAAAGTCAGAACCCAGCTGTCAGGGCCAAGCGGTGCGTGTGGAAAGCTGAGTGTGCTCATCTGAGTGACCGCAGCAGTGCTGGTGTTTGTTTGTCTTTAGTGCTCCTGGTATATTCCAGCAGCATTCCCAAAAGAGCTTGTATAAGCCGAAGAAGTCACACGTGCCAGGAACAGGCACTGTACCTTAGAACTAGCTGCATATTCTTAATGTTGATGGTTGTGCTTTGTGTCTAGCAGGGCAGTTATTTGCCAAGGGAACCGTCTCCATCACGTTCCTTTTCAGAGTCAGAGAAGCTTACATAAACAACAACAACGGCTTGGTTTGGGCTGCATAACTGTTACCTCCATGTGGGTCTGAATTCATCCACAGCCTGGACACGTCTCAGCTTCAAGATGATCATTTCGTGGAGCTCCTGCAGGAAGGTTTCCAGCCTTGAGTGGACAAGGAAGGTGGTGAGGAGCTTGGCAATCTCTGGACTGAGCTCAGCTTTGTAGGCTGTATTGATGTCTACAAAAGGATCCTAAAAATGCAGCGAGGGGAAAAAACAACCAACAATGCACATTTGAGCAGCTTCATTTAGAGAAGAGGAAACAGCTGATTAGACACTGAAGTTATCAGTGTACCTTACCCTTTTGAGATGCAGAAGCTGCTCAGATTTGCGGGTAGAGAGAAGTTGCCATAGGGCTATGTTGTGCTTTAGGTGGCATCGTTTAAGGGCCTGAAAGAAGAACACATATATGGAGTGAGCCTGGAAGCAAGGGATGTATTTAGGAACCTGCCCACACCCTGCCCTGCCCATGCAGGCCAAAACTGCAGAGGAGCACAAGCACGGAGAGGGTTCAGCAGTTCAACCTGGGTGCAGAAGCTCAGCTGCAATAGGCTTCTCTCTCCCTCTTCCACATCTTGACTTCAATAATCCATTTGGTATCATGAAGGGGAGTGGGAAAGTGATATGGCTATGTCACATGTACTTGCCATAACATAGTGCCTTTACCCCATCAGTAAGGGGCCTCTTTTCAGACATCATTAGGAGATAAAATCTTCCCCTATCACCACTTTTGAGAGCTCAAGGGATAGTTTCAATCCCGCTCAGCAACAGACAAGCCAGTGTCACTGAAAGCTGACTCAAAATTGTCCCTTTTCTCAGTTTTAGTATTTAACTAATTGTGCTGACACTCAGCTGAGAATTTTCCTTCCTGGTGTTGACAGAAGAGCTTGGATCTGCAGAGTCTGACCTTCTGCACATCCTGCACCTGACCTTTCTGCCGGGTTTTTCAAGAACATGCTGAGCATCACAAGCTATTAGATGCTCCCACCTTGCAAACATTGGTTGCAGGGGAAGTAAAAATTGTTTCCCCCCCCCGTTGACTATGGTGGGGAGGGAAGTCTATCAAATACGTTTTCAAGCTGAACTTTTGCTGGGCTTGAAGTTCAGACTGGCTAGATTTAGTATAAACCAGTACAGATTTTATCCTCTAAGAATAAGAGCTTTGCTCTCAGGGACTCACCTGCAGTACATGAGGGTTTGTCTGATCACCCATCTGCAGAACATTTTCAATGTAGTCCGTCAGAAGCATTTCAGCATTCTCTCCAGCCATGGCCAGGAATCCCAAGGTAATTTCAGTGACAGACAGAGCATCACAGACATCACTGTAAGACTGTAGTTCCCCACTGACCATGTTCATCACAGAACTGGGGAGGGCACTCTGAAAACCATGAAGTCAAAGCAGTTGCTAACATTAGTTTAGAGCCATTCCTTATTGCTGCTCAAGTTGCTAAAGTCATAGAACACGGCAGAGCCCCAGAGCCAGGAAACTGAAAATGCTTAACTGTATCACTTCCCTTTGTAAATCCTGACTGACAAAAGAAAGCCAGTTTGTACATATTCGAGGTATGCCAAGAGATCAGCAGACAAGCCTTCAGATGAACAAGGCAAGTGACAGAAGACAAACCTAACATTTCTTGGGATGTCAGGGGTCACATGCTGCCCCATTTCCTCCAGTGCAGAAACCCACCTGATCCAGCTTATTCCTGACATCATTAAACAGCTGTTCATAATTCCGATCATGCCTGTACACGAGGGTAGGTATTCCCTGTCAGGAGAGAAACCCATGGTTGTAAAGCTTTGGTAACACTGCTTACCCTGCTACAGTGCATGCCTGGCTGCAGCAAACACTGCAGGGCTCCAACATCAGCCTGCAGATAACATAGCTAGCTGCCTTGTCCTACCTTTAGTGTGATGAGTGGTTTCCCCTGCAGGAACTTGCTGATGACTTGCTGCTGGATCCTCTCCAGATCAAAGTCCTGCAACGTCTGCCCTCCCTTCTCCATGCTGTACTGGCAGTTGGACAAGATCAGAGGAATCAGGTCTCTCTCAACCTCATAACTGATCAAGTGCAGGTCAGCGACTTCTGACGGGCTGATCAAGTACCTGCAGGAGAGAAAAGCCTCCATTTAGAGCGAGAAGCCTTTACGAAGCAGGGAAAGGTGGTTGTGTGGTAGCAGGTAACACAACAGAGCCCAAAACAATGCCCAGCTGGAGTAGCAACATACCTATCATCTTCCTTGATGTGTTTGTTCACTGAGTGGACAAAGTCATTGTGCAGACTAATGAGATAACTGGCTAAGGCTGTGGAGCAGAGGCCCAGCCCTTGTCGACGTGGCAGAAGGACCTCGAGCTTGCTGTCCAGGGTCAGTTCAGCATCACAGTAGCCTTTAGGAAGCTTAATTTCCCCTGAAAGAAAACACAGAGAAGACTGAGGTGGCCCAGAACCAGCCCACGATGTGCCAGCCTCTCCTGAGCTGACCCAGGTTGGGAGAAAGTATAGAACCTGAAAAAAGAAGTGTTGTTTCTATTATGTATAAGCACCAAAGGGAGCAAGTTGAGGTGAGAATACAAGAGGGAAACAAATTTTATTTGCACCTAGACCTTCTTAAACCTTTAATGGCTAAGGTCAATTCTGAGGATATGTCTCAGGACCACTGATGGGAGGAACCTGAACTGTCAGAGAGTAGTAGTAGAGGAGCATTGTCCGACAGCTGGCAAGCTTTTTCTTCCCTCACTCTCAAAACAATACTAGGAAAGAAGGGTGCTCACCACTGGTGTCCAGCGAGCTTCTCAGCTTGTTCCAAACAGACAGAAACACATTCACTCTCTTCTGGAACAGGTCCCTCATCACATCTGAGGAATAACAGAAAGACAAATCCTCAAAACAACTTCTGATGGCAACACTGTGAAACTCTAATATAAGACTTTTCAAAGCACACCACTGAACTCTAGGCAACTGCTCCAACAGATCAAGAGAGACTAAATAGACATTAAACAGTCTTCTAATGGTATCAAATTGAGTCATTTGCTCTGTTTCTTTATATTCTTCTATTATTGCCTGCTGTTGGCCCAGGATACAAGGCTGGATGGATCCTTGGTCTTATTCCACATGACCTTTAAGTACTTTTCCATAAGTATTTAAAAACATAAGTAATTGCACTTAAGTACAATTGAAGGAGTTGCCACAAAATGTCTGGATGCTGCTCACGAATGGAAGGGAAAGACACCTATTCCACCTTTTAGGCAGGCCCTACTCTAGGGCAGAGTTTAAAATTTTAACATACCCACTGCTGCATTCAGGGATTTATCTTAACTACCTCTGAGCAGAGTCCCCACCCCTTATGAACAATCTTCCTGTGCTTAACTCTCTTCCAAGTCACCTGATGACTCTTCCAAGCACAACTCCAGGGTTAAGGTCTCCAATTAATTTGGATGGAAGTTAAGGGAAAACATGAGGGCTTGAGATTGCAAGCTCAAGAGCAGTTTTCACCTTAATTTTCAACTGGACTATTCAGCGCTTTGTTTCACTAATTAGTTTTGGCAGAGTCTTCTCACCTGAGAGGGTTTCGTTGATGAAGTATCTGATTGACCAGTGCTTGACATCAGTGGTGTTTTGGAATCGCCTCACCAAGTCTCTCTGCAGAGCCAGAATCTCTGGTAAGAACTTAACCAGCCTTAGTTCTGTTTCCTGGAAGAGGAAAGGGGGCCCATGAGTAAGGTTGTTCTTGGACAAACTAGTTTTGAATACTTTTATGGAATGACTTTTAAAATGTGGTTTAAAAAATAGTATTTTATACATGTAGTTCTCAAGATCATAGAAAGTTATGAGAATAAAGGCACTGTATAATCAAACGGTGGTTTAGTCCTGGGCAACTGGCTCTAGGCAACCCTGCCTGAGCAGGGGGTTAGCCCAGCTACCCCCAGAGGTGCCTTCCAACCTCAACCAGTCTGGGATTCTGTGAACTGACCTCTGAACACTGCGGTCTCTCG